ATTCAAATTTTTATTAATGTTAATATTGCAAATACTCTTTCTTAGGTTGCAGCTTGTAGAGATACAGGGTATGACTGGTTTGAACAACTTCTTCAAAATGTAAGTAGTGACTATTAAAAACCTATTTTACTAGTATCAAGAAATCTCAACAGCTTTCTAAAACCTAGCATTAAAATGCAACTTCAGAAACTTCTAATGCAGCCTTTCACAAAAGACAGAGTTCATTCTTACTATTTTTGTAATTGAAAAATTAACTTTTTTATTAAAGTGATTGTTAGTAGGTTTCTTTCATCTCTAACTCTTAACTTCATATGTTTGAAAGCCTAATTATTTAATAGCTACTTAAGAATGAACTTGGAACCTAACGCTGGAGCCTGTAATAATATGGAAATATCACACCTCCATAGATGTAATTTATTTACTTGCCATAGAAATGAAATGTGCTTATAAATGAAAGTATATGTAGTCTGGGTAACCAACGTGGGAAGAGAAAAGGCCATGAAACAATGTCCATCACTTTTTAAATTCTGCAGTGCTGTATTTCATTTGGTACTTTTCAGTTGGAATAAGTTAGTCAACTATCTGTAATCTATCATTTTCTTAATCTAATTTTTAAATACAAAACTTTAACACGGGGATTTCTATGCAGCATGTTGTCCTGTCCTTCAGTGAAACATGAATAGTTCTATTACCAGTGAATATTTATTGTAGTTAAGGGGAGTAAGAAAAATAAGTGAAAACATGATAATATAGTGCCAGGGTAGCAACTCATATTTGCAGACAGGCAGCAAGGGCAACATAAAAATATAGTTTAGGTATTAGGAAGTGAACTAAATAATAGTGAGAAAAGACAAGGGTAATAGAAAAGTCTTTGAGCCTTTTCTTAACTCAGGGAGATATGTCCTCTCATTATATTTTTCAGATGAACTGTGCTTACTTCCAAATCCCTTCAGTTAAGAAAATAAATTTGTCTGCTCCTTGGTACCTTTCCTCTGACTCAAATTTTAAACTTGATTTTGTTACCTTTTTTTTGAAAATATTTAAATTTTTGTTTCCAGCTAATGTTTTTCAGAGGTTTATAGAGAGAACATGGATAAATTATAGCATGGATAAGTAAATAGCTGTAATTCTTTTTTATCTGTGGTAATCATAATAAAACAGACCTTACTAATTAAGTACTAATTATGGGACAGTTGAGTGTATTGCTATTGAATGTCACTTCTTAGTTGTCTGCTGTTTTTCTCTCTGCTGTAGCTGCTGAAGTCAGAAGAGGATGCTTCATATAAACCTGTCAAGAAAGCCTGTACTCAGCTTGTTGATAATCTGGTTGAACACATTCTTAAATATGAGGAATCTCTAGCAGGTAATGTAGTTATGTGCAGTCCAGTAGTATAATTGCATTATTATGTTCATATCAAGTTGTACAGTAAATTTTGCCAAAATTTTAGTTTTCTTACAAGAAATGACAATAGTGGATTCAGGTAGTGTCCCAAGACATTTAAATGAAAACTTTATAATGTTTAGATGAATTTTGAAGTGCTATAATAGTAAAACTTTCCTTTGTTGCTGGAAAAAGATGCAGCTCTTCTTTGTTTCTTCTTTAAAGTTTTTCTAATGCTGCTGGTTCCTGATTGTTATCACACTGGAGAAATAAAATGTCATTTAATGTAAAGCAAGAGTAAACAGCTAGAAGCTAAAAGCAACTAATTTATATTAGGGATGAGGTTCACATTCTAATAGTGAGTATGAGTTAAACGGTCATGTAAACTATCAAGGGACAATGATGGATTCTCCATCTTGGTTTTTTTCAAATCAAGACTGCATTTTTCTGAAAGAAATCATATGGTCAGTGATGGATAAGATCAGACAAAACCATCTAATGGTCTTGGATGACCTTATACTGTGTTAAGATCTGCTGTACGGTAAGGTGCTTTTTTTAGCCACACATTTAAAGCAATGAATGCTTTTTGTGGAACTTTTTACCTAGTAAAATGCCATATAGATCAGATTTGAAGAAATGTCTTACACATTGCGACTATTTAAAACCTCATAAATATTTGAGTTGGTGAAATTACTCCCATATTCCAAGTAGGGATCACTCAGTTTAGCATTTTGTATGAAAGAAAATCTAAATTTTTTATTTGCATTTATGGTTTATACATATTGTGCATAAAAAGGCTTGATTTTTTTTTATACTAAATTTTATGTTGGAAAAAATAAATTATACATTTATTTTCCTCTATATATTTTTTTATGATCATCAAAGTTTGTAGATGACAGATTATCTAAATATTATAATAGATCTAATACAGCTGCCATCTTTTAACACTATTTGAGATAGTAAAATGTTTTGCTTTGCTAGAATTACAATTCATGTTTTTGTTTAAATACTAGTTGTAGTAATATCTATATATAGATCATTAAGGCAGTTTTAGGGCCTGACAATATTTACAGTGGTTCAATTTACATTAGTTTTTTACACCTTTATAAATTACACCAGGATCTGGAACTGATAGAGTAGTTTATCCCACTATAGGGGCGTGGTGTAAATAAGCATTGGGGATACAGACTGGAGATTTGGTTACCTTTACAGTCTAAAGGGAACAGATAGGAGCATTGAAGTAGGGGATGCAAGCTTTCTTCCCTGTAGCATCACTGTTTGCTGCCTTCCATGACTTCCTCACCCAGCAGACTCCAAAGGGATATAGTGATTCATTAGAGTTATATGGAGCTCTGCCTTTTCAAAAGCACAAATAATACTTTTGCAACCATTGCCAAAACAATTTGGACAAGTATCCCCATTATAGAAAGGGAAAAGCAGACACAGAGATTTGTGTAGGAAGTACTTGCCAAACTATGTACCTGGAATTAGACTTGGATTTTAATGCAAGCAATGCCACTGAATCTGTGGGCCCCAGGCAGGCATTAAAGTAATGGTACGATTGGGATCTGAGGAATTTTATGCCCCATCCCAAACAGTCCCATGCTGCCATGCTAGACATTCCTAGAAAGATGCTTAATGTTCGGGATGGGGCATAAAATTCCTCAGATTCCATTTGTGTACTGGGGCTATCTCCAGTCTGACCCCCAGAGCCAGTTTGAAAGCTGGGGACAGGATTGAAACCTGGAAAAAGACCAGACAGTAGGCACTTCAGAGTGTCAGCTGCAAGAGTTTTAAGGTTTCCTATGGCAAGGGATCCACCTGTCTCATAGTCCATCCTAGCCCAATTCCAACAATCGGCAATTGGAACCAGGGCAGCCCCAGGCAGGCTGCTGATCCAGGATGACCCAGGTCCCAATGCTGACAATCAGGTGATTGTTGGCATTGGGCTGATGTGGCACACCACGCATTCAGTTTATGGTGCCATACAAACCAGGCACAAAGGTGTTCCACATTTTATGTTCCATTTTCCACGGAACATCTTTGTGGGTTGTTTACCATTTTATGGTGCTAGAAATTAGCTGAACATCTGGTATGTTGCTATTTATGATGCAATTAACATGTTAATTGTGCCATAAATGTCACATGTGCCAGAAGCCTTGTTATTCTTAAACAAATCTTTTCTGAAACTCTATTTCTGTACCTATAAAATGGGAATGATTTGTATATCAGCCTCAAATGGATTGTGGTACATAATGTTGGTAAAGTGTATTAAAATCTTAGGTTGATTTCGAGGTGTTTGATATATGGCCGCACATGGCCAAAATACAACCGGTTACTGACTTCTGGCCGACAAAATCATATTATTTCCTGACCCCAACACACAACATTTAGGGTACAGGCAAACTTTTTATCTACTATGTAGAAGAAGGAGATCTTGCTCAGGAGCATGCATCAGCAGTTACAATATTCTGTAGTAATGAGTGTTTGACTGGATCATCCTAACTTTGACCCTGAATAAAGCAAGGTTAAAGTTGGAATGGTTTTGCTACAAGTCTTTCACTACATAATCATATGGACATAATAGCTGCATTGTAACAGCTTTTATTAGTATACATTGATGTAGCCATAATTGTTACATCTGTCTATACCCTTCATTGAGGAGCAAAGTAGCTACAAAGTGATTATAAATGCGGAAGTTGAAAAGTTTGCGGGGGCTTTAACAAACCATTGAGGTCTATATTTGAATAAAATTTTTGGTGCTTTAAAAATAAAACAAAATTATATATTTTTTTCTTCTTATGAACTAAAGTTTTATTTATATAATTCTGTCTTATAGTCAGAAATCATTTTCTAGGTTTCTGGCCTAGGACAGGTAAACAATTTAAAACTTAATGAAATCATCAAGCTTTTTTACTTGTTATTTTACATATTTTCTTGTCTTTAATCTGGTAATTCAGTTTTCTTATCTAATGAAGATTTACGTGCCATTTTTGAAGAATACTTTATCACTAAAATTTGCTCTTCTCCACCATATGTATTTACTCTCTCTATTGACTAGACAGTACTTGTATTAAATATACTTAATGCATTTTTTAATTTTTTCAGACTCGGACAACAAAGGTGTGAATTCCGGTCGCTTGGTAGCTTGCATAACCACTTTGTTCTTATTCAGCAAAATCAGGCCCCAGCTAATGGTCAAACATGCCATGACAATGCAGCCATACCTTACCACTAAATGTAGTGTAAGTAGAGGAAATTGTAGTAATCTTTCACCTAAATAAATCTGAATATCAAGGGTATTTTCTATGTATGATTAAATTGAGGACAGGAGTAAAAAGCAGCAAAAATATTTCCACCGTCTTACCTTATTCTAGCCTGAAGATACAGAAAAAACTTTGTGATTTTTTTTTTTTTCTCCCCACCCTGCTTTCCCACTACGAGATCTCTAGCAGAATTTTTTTTTCCAAAATTTGGCATGGCCAAATTTTGCCAATAAGCTTTCTTAGTTTCTTTCTAGAAGTAAACCTCAAAGATTTTCTTATAAATAAAAAACCCTATTTGTGTAGTTTTTAAGAAGTCAATAAATAGCAGTGTGTTTTATTTAAAATGCATCTAGCATTGTATTTTCATATTATTACATTCTGGTTATAATTATTCTTAAGCAAAAATCCATACATTAGTTCTTCAAGCAACTGTTTCCCCTTAAAGTCTAAATCGCTTATGCAATGGTCTTTCTAAAAAATTGTGGTTTAACTGTACCTGTATAGCTTCTTAATTTTGACCTTTCTTCCCTTCTTCTGATGTTTCCAGTAATCACAAATATATAATTAGTTATTTTAATAACCTGTAGTTAGATTTAGTCATGCCACCACAGCTATCTTTTACCCTCACTACTAAAATCTCAGTTTTTCATCCTGTTTGAATTTTTTTTAATTCCAGTTACCTTTGCATTAAATATGCATTGCTGCTTATGACAGCAAATTAACAGGAACCCACTGTAAATGTTGCTGCTTCTGTTTTCATTTAAGTTCCTGTGATGAAATGCTTGTCCCATATTTAACTATTTTTTGTGAATATATCCCATTTAAAGATTAAGTTAGGCTATTACTATTCTATAAATATACAATCTAAACTCTGTTCCCTAAACTTTCATACATGCTTTTCCTAAAATTGAACTGGTATGTTATACCTAAAACATTAACCTTACAGATAAATTGGATTTTTGTATGTGTATATTTTTATTAAAATGTTTGAATTAATCATTATTCTATCAGATGTCAAATAACATTAGTTCATTAGATAGGACTATAACAATAATTTTAATCATTTTAAATGTTATCCTAACAGACACAGAATGATTTCATGGTGATCTGTAATGTTGCAAAAATCTTGGAGCTGGTAGTGCCACTAATGGAACATCCCAGTGAGACCTTCCTTGCCACTATTGAGGAAGATCTCATGAAACTCATCATCAAATATGGCATGACAGTAAGATTTAGTTTCTACTATTCTGTGTTTTGAGTCAGTTAATGAATATATGTTCTAAAATAAAAGCATTAAATTTTCTTCACTATTAAAATATTTTAAAAGCAGGTGGCTATAATGGTGGTATGAATGAATGCTTTTGGGCTTAAAGTTCATTTAACTACTTTAATGATAACGTGCATGCATTGAGATTTTTCATGGCAGTCTACCATTAAGTTTGATAGATGTTATGCATCTATATCCCTGGACTGTTTGAAAATCTCAATTCTGACTCCTAAGTAAATGATAATATATGTTTCTATTCTGTCTTACTTTCAGGTTGTGCAGCACTGTGTGAGCTGTCTTGGGGCTGTTGTAAACAAGGTTACTCAAAATTATAAATTTGTGTGGGCTTGTTTTAATAGATACTATGGTAAGTTAAATATAATGCATAATTTTCAGTCTTTTAAAAGTTGCATGTGTCACGTTAAGGTTGCAGTATTCGGCATATTAAACATTTTATCTCTCTTTAGGTGCACTTTCAAAATTAAAAAGTCAACACCAAGAAGACCCAAACAGTACAATACTTACAGCCAATAAACCAGCACTCCTTAGATCCCTTTTTACTGTTGGAGCACTATGTCGGCATTTTGATTTTGATCAGGAAGATTTTAAGGGTAACAGTAAGGTAAAATATATTGTATTTATTCTCCCCGTGTTTTCTATTGGAAAAAAATATTTAATACATATGTTATGTGAGAAGAGAATATTCTTGCTAGTTTCAAACAGTAAATCAAACTCAAACTTTACGCTGTAAGCGCATTTTAAATAGAAGCTGATTATTAGCTATTTCCCCTGCAAGTAGATACTATTTTCTTCTAATTTGTCCAGGTTAACATTAAGGATAAAGTACTTGAACTGCTGATGTATTTTACAAAACATTCAGATGAAGAGGTACAAACAAAAGCCATTATTGGTCTAGGTAAGAAATATTAAATGTTATTTGTTTTGTTTTAACAGAATCAGTAATTTTGCATTTTGGACAGTGTGAAAATATATGCTCATTTGTATTGTTCTGGCATCAGAGTTTATATTAATTTTATACGGATCCCTTAGCTTTGTATTTTGGTTGGGTTTTGAATTTTAACATTTTGCTTAGTAGATTTTAAATGTACTACATTTACTTGAATATAAGATGAGTCTTTTCCCCCAGTCAGCATGGTGGGAGAAAGCCCCTCATCTTATATTCACATACAAAGCAAAGAAGGGAGCAGGCAGCTGCTGTGGCTCTGATTCTGGCCCTGAGCCTGGGTTGGAGCCAAAGTAAGCCTTCTGCCTTCCTCCCTCTTCTCCTCCCCCGTCCCGGAAAAGAAGTGAGCTGTGCAGAGGGCAAGTGGGCCACCTGACCCTCCCCCAGCCACTGTAACAGTGGGGGGGGGATTCAAGACAACCCTCCAATTCTTAGACTCTATTATAAATATTCCATATATAGAATCCAATTATCACAGGATCGTCTTATGTTAGAGTAAATATGGTACTTGCATACATGTTTTAGGTTATTTGAAAATAGCTTATAGCTAAATGATCAAAGAGGACTGTAGCTGCACATTATTGGATTAGACATGTTTTTGACTATACATGTTTTCTTCATCATGCATAGTTTTAAAAAATTTCAGATTTCTAAACTAGTGGTGGTATTTTTCCAAACTGAAGGAGGTTCTAAACTAAAGTTTTGCGTTTCAATCCCTGAGACATGAGCTTAAAAGATGACTAGAAAACTAAAACTTCTGGGAAAGTTTTCAGGCAAATCTTCAGCTAAAATCAATCCAGTTTTGACAAGTCACAGTAGCTGAGAATGTTCTCCTTAAGTGTCACCAGAAAGTGTCTTAGCCCATGTTTACTAGTTCCTATCTGAATCATTGCTAGTGTGTTTCCTTTTAATAGAGGGTTCTTTCACTTCAGTCATCATCATGGTGTCTTATTGACTTCCAGTAGTGCATGAGTAACATGCATCACACATTGTTTGTGGTCCTATATGGTGAAGCATAAGTAGTCTCCTACCTATTACTATTACTCGAGCCATGTTTCATCAGTCCACTAGATAATCACATGCAGATGCTGAGAAAACTGAATCCTGTGTAACACCACGGATCTAAGGGGATGACATCCTGTTTCAAGTTAACTCACAGTCCCTTGGCATCTCAGGATGCCTTGCAGCTGTGGCTGTGCTGTCTGCTTTAGTGGAGCAGGGTTGGCCTCCCCCCTCTGCTTCCTAGCTGGAGCACTATCAGTGGCAAGCTGAGAAAGGGCATGGCAGGGACCCCAGCTGGGGTCTGTCTGGTGGGGCAAAGTAGCCCCTGTGAGACTTTTTCCTGCTCCCTGCTCAGAGATCAGGGAAGAATCTGGCAGGGGTTGTTTCATCCCTGCCAGGCAGACAGACCCCAATTAGGGTCCCATGCAGGCCAGAGAGGAGGCTTAACTTCCCCTTCCCCCTCCTCCTCTGTCTCAGCAAGCCGCCCCACACACACTCTCTACTCAAGTGGGGAAAAGCCTGGCAGAGACTGCTTCCCCCACCCCTCCACCCCAGGGTCAGTGCAGGCCAGGGGGGAAATTTAAACCGCACCCCCCCCATCATACTCAGCAGGCCAGCTGGGACCTGGCCCATATCCCTTCTCTCCATTCCAGCAGGGAGTAGGGGAAGCCTCAGAGCACTTCTCCAAACTTTTCTTCCTTCCTTTGTACTCTGGTGCCCTCCAGCTTCTCTCCTGAGCCACTGTAGGCATGTGGCTGCTTTTCTGGAATCAAAAGTGAATGTCTGTTCACTTGCTTCTCTGTTCGGTCCATGCAGCTTAGACTAACCTGAAAAGACTGAATTGATTCAACCTTGGGCTTTGTGATTGTCTGTACTTAGGGGTGTCCAACCTTTTTGAATGTGGGACCGAATCATGAACTTTTTATCACCCAGTGGGCCGGTGAGCCATATTCATATTTTATCACCCCACAGGCTGTATGTTGGACAAGCCTTATCTACATGAGCATCACTCTGGGGGAGGAGAGATGGTGAGCAGTAGAAGTGCCCACCTGGTCTCTTCCATTCCAAACCACAGCAGTGTGTTCCCCTACAGCTAGGACCCCAAGGCAGGGCATGATTAGGTAAAAGTTCCAGGCCCCCTGCTCCAAGCCACCAGACCTTGTTTCCCCTCCCAGAGCATCCTAGTTCCATCTTGCAGCAACACACAGCTGCTACCCCAGCCGGCCTTCTTTCTCATCTCAATTTCCCCTGCCCTGTCCAACCGGGTCCACACTAACCCTCATTCATTTGCACTCAGGCTGCAGGCACTTCTTGCCCACCAACTCCCACTTCCCTCCAAAGTGTCTCTTAGCCCCTTGGCACCAGTAAAAATGCCTTCCATCAGCCAACCCCTGCTACTGGCTGCATTTGTGCAAGGTGGCCCCATGGGCTTTCCATGTGTGGGGTAGTAAGACCCACCATGGTCATGCCAGAGGCAGCCTTTAAACCAGTTACAGGAAAAGTGAAGGTGGGTGCTGGAGGCTGGGACAGGCATCTCTGCCCATGGAGTGCCCCCTTGGCCCTGTGCTAGCCAGGAAGAGAGAAGGGGGGCAAAGCTCAAATGCATGTGTGCACATGTGTGAGAGCCAAGTGTCAGCGCTGTGCAGTTGTGTGTGTGTGTGTGGTATCAGATCTGTGTGCCTGTTCCTGTGTCACTGTCTTCGGAAGTGTGGTGCAATTAAGTACCTGCTTACTGGGGCTGTGTGGAGTTGTGTAGAACAGCAGCTGATTCAACAAGGCTAAGTTCATGGGTACCGGAGAAGCTCTCTGCTGGTGTGACTGCGATGGCATTGCTGCAGTTGTGTGTAGTTCTAAGCTGTATACACCTCCCAGGTAGCTGTGCAGGAATCGGTGCTGCATGCGTGGTTGGGCACAACTGTATAAGCATAATTGTGCGTGCACCACTGCGTGCTCTGGGGCCACTCTGTCCAAGGTGTGTGATGCTGT